CGGCGTTCACTCAAATCCCTGCCAACCAGCCTCCCTATACCTGCAGAAAAGATGAAGGTAGGTGTATATCAAGGAAAAAAAATGAAAGGAGAGGAAAATGACATGTTTTGATTCAGCGGGGAGGTTTGTGATTGTTTATTTGTTTATATGGTGTATTTTCTAAAAACGTTTTTTTCTCTAAACGTTTTGTGATGAGAAACCGATTGAAGGCTTAACTTGTTTTTTATAGTTAAGAAATGGATACACAAACAACTGTGAATTAATTCAATGGTCATGGTTTAAATATTTTTCGAAAATTTGATTTTTAATCGTCTTGATAGTAAGTAAGGGATAAAAGTAGGGATACAATTATCTGAGTTGATTTAATCTAGACAATGGAGGGCATAAAGGATATGCCACTATACAAAATAGAGCATTCCATGACAATGTTTTTTTTAGATTTATCTGTTCTACACATTGTAAATCACATAATTTTTAACCGCTATAAAAATAGAATGTGTGTGTGTGTGTGTGTGTGTGTGTGTGCGCAATGGCAAACGTGAGCATACGCATGAACATATTTAACAGATATCAGTTTTGCTACAAAAGAGATGTATCTTGGGCACCCTTTAATGAAAATTGATTTTTGGTTGCAGCCATAGCAAAAAAAAAAACAAAAAAAAAACATGTATATCAGTTGCAAAGCACAAATTTGGATCTTGCTAGCAGAGTTGTATGTGTAGATATGTAGTGAAGATCGTTCTGTTTCGACCAACATCATAATATGTGACGCAAATAAACGACAAAAAGGGATAATTCTGGATCCGGGGGCATGGAAAATAATCCAGGCTTGAAAGATGAATATGTGAACAAAGGGCCCAGTATGTCAAACGCACGGGAGCCACGCTGACAGAACTGCTAAATACCAGTACTTCTGTAGGATTTTCTCTTTCTATGTAAGCAAACATTACACGATGTATGCAGTAAGTAAACGAACGCCCGCATGTACCTTTAGTCTTATTTCTGCTGTGCAAATACCTCGAAATATACGAGGAGTTTTCTGATGTACAAGGCGAGTTATATTGTGTATATATAGATTTGGTGAAAAAGTCACAATAAATTTCTAAGGGATCTTTCGTGAAACACTGATGACGTTTTTAGTAATTCAATTTCTTCCTTCTAAAAACAACTTTTATAAAAAATTATTCTGGTATTTTCCAGACAGCGTGAAAGATAGAATCCGTATCCGACAAATAAAAGTCTACTGCATTTCAAATTTCGGAGAAGGAAGGCTGCATGAAACAAAATTTTGCTTAAAAATTAATTTGCCATTTGTTAACTACAAATTGTTAGTAGCTTCCACTTGAATTTTGCTTTACATCACGATAAAGGGGGGTCGGATATACACAATCAAGGTCAAATATCGGTGATTTTTTTTCTTTAACAAAGCTCGTGTATGGTGTGCATGCACTTCACGTTTTAAACAAAAAACCATCGTTCTTTCGTTCTGACTGAAATGCAAGTACACGTCGCGGTACATGCAGCAGTAAAGTATGTTTCACATTTCTACATGGAGCAGTATAGTGTTCTGTAAAGCAGAATTTTGACTTGTCTTACCATGTAAAAAAGCTAAGGCGCGGGGGGCGGGGGGGGGGAGAGACATTACTCCCTTGTAAAAGCTCTGAACGCTCTTATGGAATTTAATCCAGGTAACTGACTGTTTCGAGCGCGGAGGCTCTTTTTAGGTGATTCTCTTACAAGGCATATTGTCAGTCTCACAAACTGTAGCGGCACAGAAAACTGTATCGCTCGGTGTGAAAAGAATCTAAGGCGTCACGTCCCACGTGCCAGGGCTCTACGCGGCAGCTTTATTTTATTTCGACAGATATTTTAAAGGGTGACCGAATTTACACTTGTCTAGGCAAACATTTATTACGGTACACAAAGAACTGAAGTAAGACTTGATGTCTGGATTATACTCGTGAACACCTGAGGGCACAAAGTTTGGGCAGGGTGGGTGGCTTCATGCGTTAAACGAAAGACAGAAAGTCCGCCTGAAAAAATGACCTTGGTTCTTTTAACAATTTTTTTTGTACCTTCACCTTGGTAAGGAAAATACACACGTGTTGTGCATGGGAAGACCTCGGAATGAAGTTGTCTCCCTGAGACGGTGGAATTATGTCTTATTTGTCGTCTTGTCAAGGCAATTAAATTCACATTATGTACATGTGTAATTTTCCATGTGAGGGCGCACGCTTTGTGTGATTGGTGAGTGATTAAATGCCAAGGAATCAGATGACAAACCACTGACGCAAGTTGGAGTTTGCAGCGTGATTCCATTTCGTTTGTCTGGCAAAGGAGCATTATCCAGTTTCTTTATCCAGTGCACGTTATACGGGCGTGGCATTCCTGACCTCGCCCTTGCCATTGTTAGTGTTAGCACGTCGGATTTTTGTTTTTGATAGTCTAAGACCCCATTCTCATAGATACTATCGTTCTACGGGGATCGACCCAATTCTGCGAGGACTCTTTCTGAGTGCTTTCAGCTTAACTGAATGGCACGCCTACACTTGTTTCCAACTAACTCGAATAATCACCAACTTTCCTGTATTCTACTCAACGCCAGGAGGAGGTATAAAGATTTGTTAAACTATTTGCATTCAGCGAGTGTGCTGGTGGAGTTGGGCCGATTAACGTAGACTGTTGGCGTCTATGGGAATTGGTCTAAACATATATAAAGCAAATCTGCGCCTGAATCTACTGTTGTCGATACAGCACTCAGTTTATCAATTCTATTGTGGTCCAGGGTTTACCATGTCGTTGTCTGCCTTTAAGGATCGAATTCATAAAACGAAATCAAAGATGTCTTAGTTAAAAAAAGGGGGCCAGCTATACTAGATTATGGAATGGGATCGTATAACACATTTCCAATAGTCTTAAAACATAGTTAAGTCAAAACAGATGGCTGAGCATATCTCGGTGATAAAAAGAGAAAGAAAAAAGAAAGAAAGAAATATTATATATATAGATTATATTTTTATATATACTTGAATAAAAAGAAATGGAATGTGAATGGTGTATATATATATGATATATGATATGATATATGATATTCATTGATCTATTCATTATATATATATATATATATATATATATATATATATATATATATACACCATTCACATTCCATTTCTTTTTATTCAAGTCCCTGACCTTGACTTTGTTGATGCTGACCACGTGTATACTTACGGTGTCCAAGTGTGAGACGGGAAATGCCGAGATCATACGTGAACTGCAGAGCACGGTGGCCGCCTTGGGGAGGCAGCTGATAATGCAGCAGCTGTTTGTGGAGGAACGAATACGGTCTGAGGGAAGTTCTGGGCTTAAGCAGATAAGATTGCAAACAGGCGGTGAGTAAGTGATTTTGAAGGCTGGGTTTAATGTTTTTTTTCAAGTCTTAAGTTTTATTGGGATGGTCAATTATACTGGTATTAAGATTGGTGCTTGGAAGACATAATGCTATTCTATGCAGCTATTCTATGCGGCTATCCGCACATCCAAAAAAGAATTGAGAGAAACCAATAATAATAATAATAATAATAATGCACAGATCAATGGATAAAAATGAACAAATTAAAGGGTAATGTCTAAAAATGAAAGAAGAAATATAAACAGATCGTTTAAATGTCTAGAAACGACCTTTCATTCTCAGGCAGCCGCCCTTATCATTCCACCACCTTCGTCGGTAACAGTCTGGCGAACATCCACGACCACATCAACTACGACCGTACCCTGGGGATGGGGGAGACGATAGCTGTACTGAACGGAGTGGAGTTCCGGACTCGGCATAATGACTACAAGCTGAAGATGCCATGTCGTAGGAAACAGACGTTGCACTGCACTGAGGATATTCCCTTTCCAAAAGTGCCCAGAAAGGTAAGTAGTACTTTATACAGTGTTGTGTAATTTTTTATGAAGAGTTTGTTATTCAATGGTAAATTACATTTGTGTCATATGTTTTTTCAATTGTTATGTGTGCGTGCAAGTACAAAGTTGTACCGAGTACTGAACCATTTATTTATTACTTAACCCATTTAATCTTAAGGGAAAACGTATAGAAATATGTGAACATAACTTTGAATGTAAAAATAGATTGATTAATCATTGGTATACGGATGGGAAAATTGTTGTTGACTCCAGGAAAATTCATTTTTTTTTTGGACAAAACGAAGAGTCATTATCCCTTTAAGGTATTAAACATTAATTTAATGATAACAAAGTCTATACTAACTGAACTACATATAACTACTATTAAAGCACCGTTGAATTTTTTACTGCAACTGTAGTATGACATGTTTTTTCACAGGTTGCTTGCGAGTGTTAATACAGCCTAGACATTAAGACACTACTAGACACTACTTTGTCCCTTTTTTCATTGTATAGCAATACACGTCTTTTTAACCAACTCCAGATTGTGATCTGGTGGACAATGACATGCGGTATATGTGGTGATAACCAAATGCACATATTGCTGAAAACTGCGGAAATCATTTCGGCCAGTGTCGCGAACTTCACTTTACGCAGCCAGCTTCGTCCATATTTCCCCAATTTCAAGTTTATAATTTTTTTTTGACACCGGCCTGTGTTTAGCTTTTTAACCTTGCTGTTTATTTTCTGGTGTTAATCAGGTCATTTCAAAGGAAAGCGTCAGTGATCAAATAGCAGAGATGAAGGAATATTTCAGAGCGTGGAAAGAGCAGGTGAGGCAATTACAGCTAAAAGCGAAAATCCATGGCGCTTTTTATGGTCATTTCATTTGCTTTCATTTCTGCTTTTGGAAATCAGAAAGTTTTCTGGGTCATAAGTCATGAGTACGTAGATGAGTGGTGTTTATACCGAAACAGCCTGTAAATGAAATAACAACATAAGAAATGAAGGGGGACAATCAAATAATTATCAATCCCTTCAATGGTAGTTCTCTACTTTTTCAGGATAGTTCAATACGACGTTACAGCAATTTTTTCAAGCCTGTACTTTGCTACTTGGAAGGCGCATGGATGAAAAGTTCAGGTAAAATGGTTGTTGAAGAATTAAAATTATAAATACACCGATATCACTTAAGTTATGAAAAAAACTAATGAATAGTGTTATATCTTAAAAATTACTTTTGGGGGAACATTTTACAAAAATGAGACTTAATTAACTACATCTCTATAGCACTGGCACCGGTTCATATACCCCGGGAGAGCATTTTGTACTGGACAAAGTGGTCTGCGCTTTTCAGGTTTCAGAAATATTATTACTGAAAATTACTACCTTCCCTCCCAAAGACAAAACTTGCTGGATAAAGGGCTTAAGTGGAATTCACGCCTTTTAAAGTGATTTTCAAAACATATACAGGCCTTCATGCATGCAACGTATCTTACTTCCTCGTCGTTTCTTACGTTTTCAGCGTCGCTCCAGGAATCCTTCGCCAGCGACCGCCACTTTCTGGACGCCACCAGTTGGTTCGACCTGCATCAGAAGGCTCGGTTCAGCGCAGCCTCTGGTCGTAAGGACAACTTAGAGAACTTTGCCTACCTCCCCGTCACGATCGCTCACCTCACCGGAATCAACGGCACCATTCCCGAGTTTGCGCAGTGGAACTATCGGATATTATGCCATCCTCTCTCCCAAGACGTGCCCTTCAACAGGTTCCGCACCGTGGACGACCTCCATTCTAGAATGGCTTTCAAAGCGGGGATTGATCAACAGACGCTGTCCAGAAGGGCAAGGTGATAAAGACCCTTCTCATGTTATTCTAGTAAAAATAAACCTGCATTTGCGACCTGATTTTTTATTCATTTAAGTCCATGTTGCTCTAACTTTTTTTCGTGTGTAAAATAATTATAATTCAATATTATTCAATTATTGAATAATCTGTCCTTTACTTTATTGTTGCTCGTATTTTTGTATTTTTACATACATGTTTTCCAGTTTAATTTCAAAGAATTTTAAAGCAAATAAGTAACTGCATCTATTGAAGAATCAGCAAATCGATGAATTAATCCTTTGGCCTTCTTTTAATGTATATATTGTTTGCATCTGCCTCATCATTACTCTTATTTTCAAGAATATATGATCAAATAAATAGATAATAATAATTATGAAAAATAATGCATGATGCAATAAATATAAACCATGTATAAGACGAAACTATATCTGATTAACGTACCAGATGTGTTTTAAAATCTCCAATATGTTAACACCGCATTCATTTGCTGTCTAACAGATCGGCGGATCGCGTAATCCTCTATAAGACCCCATTTCCATAGATTTTAGATCGATCTATCCCTGTGGGCAGTCTCACTAAATTACTGTCAGCTTAGTCGGCTTAAGCATCAGTCCCGCCTACTGAAAGCTGTAAGGGGGTAATTAACTATGGTGCGCGCTCGGCTGACTGCAATTTAGCGTGAACCCCCAGGGAGTTAGGTCGATCTAAATCTTACACCCCNAACAGATCGGCGGATGAAATATGGCTGTCCCACCTGAAAGCATGGCGCGTAATCCTCTATAAGACCCCATTTCCATAGATTTTAGATCGATCTATCCCTGTGGGGAGTCTCACTAAATTACTGTCAGCTTAGCCGGCTTAAGCATCTGTCCCGCCTACTGAAAGCTGTAAGGGGGTAATTAACTATGGTGCGCGCTCGGCTGACTGCAATTTAGCGTGAACCCCCAGGGAGTTAGGTCGATCTAAATCTTAATCCTGGATCGATCTAAATCTCTGGGAATACACCCTTAGACAGTGAATAAATTGCCCACGGGGATTAATTACGCCACAAGCTTTCAAGTGGATTGGCCACATTTCATCCACCGATCTTTTAGTCCGCGGATTAACATTGGTTGTGAATACTGCCCATGTGTGCACAGATTTCAACTGAACCCAGAGGACTCGGACCATTGGGGTGAGGGTCGTTTCTACGATTATGGTTTCTTGGACTCATTAATGGAGCAGATCCCAGGGAAAGACAACTACCGCGCCAACTTGACGGACGACCTGTTTGGTGACGTGGCCCTGCGGTATGAGGACGACGAGGACGGCAGCCCCCGTGTGCTGAACGCTGGCTTTTATCATCGCTGGTTCAAAGTTACGCAAAAGGTACCCGCTCTCTGGTGTCGCCTCTCTCTCTCTCTCTCCCTCTGATGCCAAAAAGAGTGATACAAAATACATGTAGCTCTTTTCATTGTATTTATTTATTTATTTATTTATTTATTTATTTATTTATTTATGTGCATACGGTCCTTTCGATTGAAAATGGTGGAATGATTTTACACAGTTACTTTATTATCCATTGATATATTAAAATTCGAGAATCATAACAGTATCTTATCAGCCAAAAGAACATATCATATCATCTATAACCTAAAATAAATAATTAAACAAATAGACAAATTAAACTCTAGCGATCGAAATAGAAGCGAGCATCAATGCGACTATATTTGATAACATTGCTACATTGGTCTAAATACGTATGGTATGCTTTTTTTCGCGATTTAAGTTGATTATAAGTGATTTGCATCTCCATTTTTATCTCGCCTAGGGGGCAGATGGCCGGAAGTTGATGCACCGTGGGTACTCTGACCAAAATGTCTTTATGGCTATGACGTCACAACCGGATGTAGTTGGACTGAACATAACTAACTGTGCTCGGCGTGGACGAGGTGAAGTCTGTTGAAAACTTGTAGTGGTCGTACATTTTAATAAATAAGGCAGTTTACAAAATCTCTGACTGTTCTTTTAAAATATTGGACATTTTATATTTCTACAGTATAATGTATATACAGGGTATGTACCGTGCTTCTTCTGTGGACCGTGGAATTCTTTCACCTATTTGGGAAGATCTTGGAGGTGAATCTCGTTTCCACTACCCTCTATCAGGGTTGCAGTTTTGATTATGTGCACTTTTATCTGATACAGTTCAGAGCAGAAAATTTCATCATTTAACTAGGGACATACTAGTATTTGTGAATATCCAGTGAAAAAACCATCTGCGGCCCTGTTATAGGGTATATTTTCACTGGGACGTGGCAGATATCTGCCATTTGCGTTAAACAATTTTTTGTGAATATTTGGATGTTGTGATCATTATATGAAACTACCGGTAACACTTTGAACTCTCTTTATATTTTTCTTCTTTTTATTTATTTATTCATTTATTTTTCTGTTTTTTTTTTAATATTCAATCTTATATTTTTTTCTTGGTTCATTCGTGAATAGACTGTGTTACCGTCCAGCAGAAGTGGACGTACGCAATCCCGCTGGAGATAGTGTATATGACACCGCTAAGTAGATGGAACCCGTACGATTTGGAGTACAAAGGGCTGGCCTACACTGACGAGGGGATGACTGTGAAGGAGGGTGAGATACATGCATTGCTCTCTCTCTCTCTCTCACTCTCTTTTTCTCTCTCTCCACGTCTTTCTCCTTTTTTATGTTTCCATCCCCTGCCCTCTTCTCTCTCCATAACTTGTTGAAAGTACTGAAAATTCCAGAAATAAGGGTTATATGCACTGTTTAACTGATTTGTTAATACGAATGATGTATAAGTAAAAAGAATAAAGCCAGTAAAATGCTAAAAAAAAAAAAAAAAAAAAAAAAAACATTCTCAAAATGATGTACAATCAAACCTCCACATTTTGCCTATAATCAGATTCCCATCCTCGGTTTGTACATGTATATATATATTTAATGTATTTTACTATCTTTCGAAACCGTTATGTTAACTGTAATTTGATGATAGATGGTAATATTCCAAAATGGTTTTATAAAGAATCTGTGTCTATCAGAACGGTTGATCCAGATAGAAGCATAGCGGGACACGCACCGCCCCCTCTTAGCTTGTAAAGGTGCCCCTTCTCCATCTTTAAGACCCGCAAAAATGAAGAAGGATAATATAAGCCGTTGCCTGTCTAGCTATATTCAAAACCCTGGTTATATTTTTAAAAAAATCCGAAACAAAATAATATTTTTCATGTTTTTTAATAGGAAACCGAAATGGGCAAAAAACTGTGGACAAGGCCTTTAATGGGATCAACAACGCCCTCTATTATCAAACCCCGGTAGAGATGTTTGCCAGAAAACAGAGAGGAGACACTGCCGATACCGGGAGATACGGTGTAGGCGTTCTGGATAAAAACGGTATGGGTTAATTCGTTCTTAAAATTTATGATCTTTTATTCAAGGAACCAACAACCAAAATATTTCAGTTTCGCATTTACATTGTGTGAAAATAACATCGTATTGGAAGAAAGGAGAACCAGTTAAAACCATTAGGCCCTACATAAATTAAAATGTAAATGTACTTACACTCCTTTAGATGTGTTAAAAGGCAGTGTGTTAACAAAGGAAACTTAAAACGTTCAGTTTTCTGTTTGGATGAATAAACATTTTCGTTGCTGTAGGTCATTCAAGCATATTATATTTTGCATAATTTGGAAGGTCTCTCTTTCAGCGGTTATTGTATTGTGCTGTCTAAATTAGTCTTAAACCGATAGATGCACATGTGCTGGCATTAGGCCTACAACTTTTCCGCTTTCTTTATCCCGAATTGTTCTGGGCTTTATGAGATTAAAAAAATAAGCTCTAATAATAATATTTATTCAGCTTTTTTCACATTTTATGATATTCATTTATAGTTCTATGATCTGATTTTAAGTCAAATGTTTCTTTTTCTAGGTGTAGTGAGAACAGTTGACGCATCTGGTTTTCGAGTGAAGCTGAACATTGCTGACGTAGGCGAGATACGTCAGAGGTGGCCAATAATGCCTGCGTCGGTAGAGGGCAGCACGATCATGAAAGAGATAGATGCGCTCAAGGTGAGCTGAAGGGTTACACTGTTGCACTATTTTCTCAGTTTCCCTTTTTTAGTTACTTTAGATTTCCTTCTTTGTTACCATTTTGTTTTTGTTGAAGGGAAGGTTTATTTGCTTTAAAAATACTTATCCTAATCCAATCATTGTCGGCTCATAAGGCTTGTCTTTTTATCTGTTAAATGTTTAACATTTAATATTTACGATTGTCTGTCTGTTTACCTGCCTCGCTTTCTGTTTAGATATTTTGCTTTTCCTGCTTGCCTGTGTTTACGTTTATGGAACATAACAGCTGTCTGTCCGTCTGAGGCCGTTTATCTGCCTGCCTCTTTCTTGTCAACATATTCATACAACGAGTGCGTGCCCACCCAAACATATTACTTTTCTACATTAACAGAACGGACTCGTAAGGCATCTATTCATTCATTCTGTGTATATTTCAGGACATGGTGATGGACCAGCAGCGGTACATCAACATGTACCGCGAGAGTCCCTTGGCTCTGGCCACGGGAACCACCATGGCCCCTGTGACTGCTGACCAAACCCTAGAGACATCGCTGTCCACGAGTGCAGTGATCAGCCAGCATAGCCACACGTATGTCTGCCTGCTAGCTGTGGCTTGGACATTACCGCTTACACGCTTCTTAGGGGCCATTCAGAATAGATGATCCGAGTGCTTACTGATCCGCCTGCTAAATATGGCCGACTTTACCGGTACTTCCCGCTGATTCCCGATGGTCTCCCCCTTCCACACGCGCCATTAAACGGATTAAAGCTTGGCTCCAAGGTTTAATGTTAGCCCCCCCCCCCCCCCCCCTGCAGCGACAGCTCGTGTGGAGGCGGGGAGACCATCGTGGTATTAGCGGCATCGCTTCTGAAGTGGATTCGGCTATATTTAGTCGGCGGATCAGTTTGTGCTCGGATCTATTCGAAATGGACCCTTAGTTTAGAGCTGCGTTGAAGGAAGCATGAGGGTGCTAACTGAGTTTGCCTGGGGCGCGAGGGTCAAATGATTTTACTTTGCTTTGCATGAAAAATCTGAAACAGTCAGCAGGAAATCGCAAGTTTTATATGTAGGCACAGGGAAAGGAACTTAAATTTTGTCTTGATTTGCTTTTGACGCTTTAATAGGCAACATTAAGATTAGGGGACTGACTAGTCCAAGGGTCAAATATGGCGACTCAATACACATATTGCCGTCTAATCCGCTAATAGACACTGAATAGAAATCCCGTGGGGAAGTATTCAAGAGGGTTGGCCATATTTGACCCTCGGACTATAGTCAGTCTTCTATTTTGGATGTGACCTTAGATGGAATCAAGAGGGGGGGGGGGCAAAGAGAAAGAGGGAGAAAGGGAGTTTATTAGAGATAACAGTAGATCATTGCATTGTGCTTTTAAAAATGAAAAGCTCGGTCTAACTTTTTTAATAAAAGCATTACACATTAAGAAGATTTGTGTTTGTAATTGAGAGAACGGAACATAAAATATTTTGTTTTCTTTGTTTCAATTTTAATTTATATAAATTAATTTTCGAATCAAGATAGTTTTTGAAAGTTCCACAGTGGGTGAAAATAATTAATAAATCGGTGTTTATAATTCCCCCTCCCGTTAATGAACGTTTAATTTGTGACAAATATTTTTGTTGTCACTATCACCCGCGTGACTGACACTCGTACTGGCACTCCTTGAATACTGTATGCCCTGAAGAACACGGGCGCCAATGTGATACTGGCATACTATCGTACGTACACCGCACATGATCACTTAGAGTGGCATCCGCATGCTATGGTATACTCCGCCCCCATGTCGAAACGGTCACTTTGAGTGACCACCGCATGCTATGGTATACCCCGCCCCCTTAGGGAAACGGTCACTTTGAGTGACATACACATAATGTGGTATGCCCCGCCCCTTAGGTAAACGGTCACTTTGAGTGACATCCACATAGTATGGTATACCCCGCCCTCTTAGGGAAACAGTCACTTTGAGTGACATCTACACAGTATGGTATACCCCGCCCCTTAGGTAAACGGTCACTTTGAGTGACATACACATAGTATGGTATAGTCTGCCCCTTTGCGAAACGGTCACTTTCAGTGACGTCCACATACTATGGTTAGACACACTGTAACTGGCTCACCCACGATTGCCCCTATACTTTATTGGTACGGCTTTGTCAAAGGGTTATGCAAGGCTGACACTTGCACGACTTTTGGCCCCGATTTTGTCGTGGCAAGTCGTGCCATTTTGGGGCACAAAGTGGGAGGCTCCCGTGTTCCCTACTAGTTCACGCATAGTTTACGACGAGCTAACGAATAGTTTACGAATGCGTATCCACATTGACACGAACTTGCACGACAAGTTCACGCACAGTTTGCGCATAGTTAACGCACTTCCCGCATTGGCACGACGAGTTTGCGCAATTCGGACGGTGTCGTGTCGACTTGGGCACGCAATATACATGAGATGTTCGTGAACTATTCGTGGCAGTTCGTAACAGTCGTGACGTTGTGCGCACTGCCACGCACTGGCACGCATCCTCTCACATCGTCCCGACGAGTTCGCGAACAGTTTGCGCATAGTTGCGCATAGACTCGAGTCGTGCCAATGCGTGTCACAAAATCGTGCAAGTGTCAGCCTTGCTTTATCCACATGCTTAAATAGCAATGACCAATATGTTAGGAACCTTTCATATCTTTATTAATTGTAAAAATTTATCATGCCAAAATTTCCTTTTTTACTGTTTAATGAGCTATTTATAGTCTCAATATAGACTGATTTTGTGATATTTTAGAATTTTTACTTAGAATTCATTTTTCTGTATTCGACTATACAGCAACAAGTGTGAATGTAAATAAAAACCTGTGTATGCATTCCCGTTGTAGCTTAGTGCTGGATGCTGACAGTATCCAAAGAATGAAGGACGGAGCTAAAATCGCAGTTAGAACATCTACAGACAACGGACATTTTCACGAACTGAAGGTTTTCTACAACAGCAGCATCGATCGCTTCCAGATGTTTAAGTAAGTGACTGATATACATGTAAGCTATGGTCTTAACCCGAATCGAGTGTGACCATTAGTTCCACGTTTAAAAATGACAAAATATTGAACTTAAGAAATATCTACTTTTCGGGCCCTTATTGGATTTCCCCTAAGTTTTGCTTTGTTAATTTAATGTTATCGTAATTAATGTTGTTAAAGGAGTGACTGAAACCTACACCCCCCCCCACATTAACAGAGAGAGAGAGGGGAGAGAGATACTGGTACATGTATCTTAAATACAGTATATACACTGTATGTATTAACAAAGCAGATGCGGGTAAATTAAATGATAAGATAATGCAGCAGTAATATAACAGACACGAAAAGTGATGCTTTAAGTTTATTTTAACGATAATTACGGTGGTTCAGAAAATAAACACCATTTTTTGTTACTTGTGCTTCTATATCGTACATTCATTTACTAGTGGTGAAATCTCTATCTGGAGTAAGACTTATTTCCAGAAAATTTGTCATATAATTCGAATTCGCTTTATTCGTCTGTTGTATTGAACTCTATTGCCCCATAGGTATTGCATGTACATTTAATATATCCTGCCTACTAGAGATCATTGCACGCTATCGAACAGTCTGTTTCGTGTAACGAATTTATCATGTAGTTCTTCCTATTGAAATTCCTTCAACAGTCTCTGAATTAAGAGGTCTCATACTCCTAGAACTTCCACGTTTTATACCTAGTTTTAGTTAATCTTTACATGTGCATTTTAGCTTAATCTAATCATTTCTGTAACACAATATGTCACGCTTAAAGACAATGTTAATTATAATGCTTTTAAAACATTGATTCAATATGGCGTTTAACCAGTTATGTCAATGGCATTGTTCTGCTGTTGTACCGTAGTAACAAAGTGGAATAACACCCAACAGCAGTAATTGGTCTTTATTTTCTGTTGAGTCAACAGTACTTTATAGTCCTGGCGAGTATATCCTTAGCTCCTGGATATTTTTGATCGTTTCTTAAAATAATTCTGCATTTTATTGGTCTTGGTAGTGCGTTTGCTGCTATAGATTATACCAAACAGCAGTGGCCTTTACCTGTGTGACAGGAATGATACCAGACTGGCAGTAGTCCGACAGGAACCGTAGTCCATTCTCCATTACATTGTACAGGTGACATTCGCTCCTTACATGTATACAACCCCTAATATACTCCAACCAACCCTAACCTGCACTTATCATATGGGACTCTGGACTTCCATTCCTAGCACTACCATTCCTGTCACACCGGCTGTGTACATGCATGTATAACTGATTGTACCCTTCCATGCCAAACGTCAAGACTTTGTAATTATCAAAGGTTGCAATGAGTTCTCTTAAAAGCGTTAAAATCGTTTAAGTCATACAGTATATAACTGGCCATATTTCCAGGTGCGATCTGCAAAACCACTGCTGGGATGGACATGACTCACAACTCTGGCCCTCTGACGGATAAACTGGCCTCGCAGGTCGTTGCCGGAGTCAGCAAGCAAGCAGCATCTGGAAAGTTCTCCACTCCCACCACCCAAATAATGATTTTGTTCATAGTGAACAACAAATAACCACTGTCCATCCTGATGTATCCACTTAATACAACGGGAAGCCCAGTCGCAACGAACGTGCTTAATTAATCATCGAAATTTTTAGAGATTCTCTTTTGCTTATAGTTTTTAAATTTTGTCATGATGAAACATTTTTAACTTTGCATGTAATAAGCTAAATATTACCCGGTAATTTGCTTGCTGAAATTAGGCAGGTTTTTTTATAATGCTGCAAAATATATATCGTTTCAAAAGCTTTAAAAAAGCAGTTAAACCAATTTTGCTTATAGCAATGTAAGGTTACGAAGAAAGATTTCTTTGATTTTGCCAAAATATGTTTATGTGGTCAATTTTAGCGTCAAGTATTCCAATTAGTCCACTGGAAAAGAAAAAATAATGATAAACTTCTAACATGTCTTCAGTCTTTTTAGGCCGGCAGCATTTTGTTTAGAAATACATTTTTCTGAGTGAACCAATGCCACAATATGTGGGTATGCATTACTAAAAAGTGTCTTTTTGCTCTCTTTGTGTACGTTTCAGTAAATGCTTTTGTCAAAATAGCAAAAGTTCGTTTTTCTCTTGTTTTGTTTTGTTTTGTTTTGTATTTTTGTTATTTTCTATTTTCATCCGTGACACATGTAGACATGTTCACACGCAATCAGAACATCCACCCACGCCACGGCCTGTACAAACGTCACATGCACGTCACAGTCTGTACAAACGTCACACTCACGACACAGTCTGTACAAACGTCACACTCTGCACAACGTTACATACACGTCACAATGCTTTTGTGCTCTAAACGTGGTCTAGCACCGAACATTAACATTCTGACATGGAAACACAGAAGAACCACACAATTACGCAAGTCATCCAACGGTACCTATAAGTGATCTTTATCGCATGCATTTGTGGATCATTTCTTTGAATCATTCTTTCATGCAATTCAGCACTTCATCATATTTAATAGATAATTGAACCCGTACATAAAAATATGAAAAAAGTAAGGAAAAAAGGAGAAATATTTGGATATAAATACAAAAAAATACATGGACAAATAAATAAAAATATATAAAAAAAAACATGGCATGATAAATAGTTTAAGAAGAACATTGAAAAAAAAATATTCAGTGCAATAGCGCCTTACCTTGTACTTGTATCTTCAAGAAGGACACGAGATAAACGTGACTACGCTGAAATGTTCTTTTTAAATACCTTAAAAATGCCAAGTGATACGTTCATCCTTTACAATTGCAATAAAAAACAAAAATGTGCGTTTGCACTCGCTGTGTGACGGCTTAACTTAGCACCGTCCTATTTCAACATATCGAGTGTTTACGATGTACAGGCAGTCGGTGAATAAATGTAAGAAAGCTCCAGATCGTCGTTATTCTTCACTATAACACATAGGTTATTACCATGGTTACAGTGCGGCAATGTGGGAGTACACTGGGATTAGAATGGTCAAGATCCATTATCACCCGCCACGATGAATAAGCACAGCACTAAGTTAGACGACCACACCTACACTATATCTATGTGATATCAGAAACTGAATATAACAACCTTTTAAAGAAAATCCAAAATGACCATCTGTTTCAAAATGGCGACCAAAAACCTTACCACAGTCCTCTTCCTCTCTATCCCACTGTCCACTGGCCAAGCACAGCCGCATCCTCTTGGTACCTCCGTCCCCGAAGCTGGTATTGTTGGTGCACTGGTACTCCACAGCTGACCCCACCTGGCGGTCAGTGGAGTTAACCACCGCATTGATAAGGCTGCTTGATATTACTGGGCACAAGATCACTGTAGCAAAACGGAATGACAGGCTAAAATATTATATGTCTCTTTATTGAATTCGAGTGTTATTCACTTTGGACACGTGTTGCATCTTTTCTAGCGTTTAAGTGGTGTTGTAAAGTCAGGTGAAAACTGTGGGGCTGAGAGGTACCAAAATGAAAATACACCATGGCCAAAATATACCAAGGGCTAGACCAGCGAAAATTGCTTTAAAAACGTATGTGCAATGATTGTGTGTGAACGAAACGATTTTTAGGGAGAAGCAGTTGTTCGTTAATTGTAATTCTTGATAAGTCGTATCCTCCTTGTGCAAAAAGGCGACCATTGAGCTGTGACACATCCAGAAAAAGAAACAAAACAATTAAACAGAGCAATGCACAAATCTCCAAATTTGTGAAATAATTTGTAGCACGCGGTTTGTAAAACAGCTGACAATTTAAAAATCAAAACCATCCAAGGCAAACAAACCTTGAAATCAAAATAAATACATTTCAAAACAGTGTGGAACTTACTTTCACATGCGGACACTGAGGCAGCGGACCACTGACCCGTGGTCAAACAGGACACCGTCTTCGTCGTAGAACCGCCAGGGAATTGGTAGTGCTGTAGACAGGTGTAGGTGGCCACGGCACCCACCTCGTCACCCCCCACGACGCTCAGTGTGGTGTTGGCCGCCGTCGGGAGAGCGGGGGTACAGTGGATTGCTGGATAAAGAAATCTTTACTATTATTATTATAATTATTTTGGGAGCGGGAGAAAGGGAAGAAGGAATTGCCTCCAAATTTAGATGGGGTGGGGGGGGGGGGGGGCACTTGGACTACTGTATCCAGATAAACTACTGATAAATATTGCTCACTTCGAGAAAAAATACCGAAAATACGAATTAAAAGGTTTAGGCTGGAGCACGTCATATCGAAAACTACAAACATTTAGGAGCTAAACACAAACAATGTAGCCGACATGCTATGATTATCCATTATAAAAAACTCTACGTTAAACATATCTAAATAGCGTTAGAACTATGAACTAAATAATGCGACTGGATAGTTATTACTGGAATAGTTGAGAATAAATGTCCACCAACCTTCACAATCGGGTGGAGGCGCAGTCCAGTAGTTAAACGTACAAGTAATCGTTTTCTCTGCCTCTAGGGTTCCAGTCGGCCAGACGTAGCCAGGTAGGCAAGAGTAGGTCACCTGAGAGTTGTGGTTGCGGCTCGTACTGGACGCGGTTGCGTTGCCGACAGAGGGCACTTCGGGACAACGGACCTCTGGCGAATATACAAAGCGGAGTTGAAGACAAAATGGGTCAGAAAATACGTATGTGTGTGTATAAGCTTATGTTTTCCACACTTCGTTCCTTAACATTTATGTAAAAAAGACGATAAAATGAGTTTAAATCCTTAAAATATTTAAAGTCATACTGTGTATATACTGATGTTAAGTTGAATGTGAACAGTGCTTATTTATCATGTTTGATTTATAAAGAATTAAGCATTTTGTGTATATTTACCCCAAGTTCGCCACACTGAATATCGATTCTCTCCGCCACAACGCTGCTTGGAATCGCCTGTACACGTGATGTCGCAATGAGAACTTGCTGCATATCCGTATGTTCTAATTTCATTTGCACAGCTGCAGTTGGCTGTCGACAGAAAAGTAGATGCATCATTCAAATAAGTACATATGTGTCATATAAATTTATATGTTTCAGGTAATGATGAATTTGAAATTTGACACGTTCTGAGACTTGCAAAGACGATTAGAGATAAAGGTCAGAACTTAAATACCATTGCAAAAACTAGTCGATTACCCATTATAATATGGGTATACGACAATGCTTTATTTGAGTGATTTCACACTTGTAGGAATTCCTCCAACATACAAACCTATTGATAATTAACACAGTTTTGGAAGTGAAAAATCGCCCACAACCACCTCACCAATCATCCCTCCATCCACTCCCCATTTTGAAATTTATGTATGCATGCTTTGCCCCCCCCAGCACCATTAAGAGAAAGTCTGCTACAAAATTTCCCCATACAAAAAAAAAAAAAAGAAAAGTCCTAATCGTAACAAGATAAAACCAAGCAATACATGTATACATTACATTATGAACTACATACATGTATTGCAATGCAATTGTTCATGTTTATTTTAATACATTATAATGTCTAATTTGACCTCCAACCCCCCTTTGAAAACCCTGGGTATGACAATATTTTTTCAACACGCTGGCAACACCAGTCAACAAGATTACTTTGTATGGCACTGCTGTATAACATTGCGGTAGTTGAGACAGAACGTAATCCATATGAAATCTCACCTCCCTGTAGGCCAGCATACAAGAACCCCGCCGCCCTGCACAGATCTATACAATCCGACGGCAACTGGCAGATCGTTGAAGCGCTGTGGACCATAACTTGCCCATTGGGATCTGTAGTCTCTATGACACACCCAACATACTGCAGAGAGTCTGAAAACGATTTAGATGTCCGTAAAGGCCTTGTAAACTCTATAAATATCCCGAAGTTATATTTGTTGTGTCTAGATATTCCACAAAGCTATACTTACTGTCAAAAAAAAATTCAAAATAAGATTTTTTAAAAATAAAAGGTTTAAAAAGTGTTCAGCTTGTGAGCATGTGAAACCTATAATCAAACCATCATATCCTCAGGATCCCTATGACCAGGTCAGACATACCAGAAGTCACCACCCCCATTACAACAAACAGATATTGAAAACTGATCTCAAACATCTCCACAGGAAAACAATATGGAGACAAAAACCAAATTACCAGCTCATAAACCATTGTTTAAAGATTGATAACACTTGAGACCAGACAGATNAAAAAAAAAAAAAAAAAAAAACAATTAAACAAAAACTCAATTAGATATACTTGATGTCGATATTAACTTAATTCTTTTTTTTCTTGAGGAAAATTAGATTAGGAATATGACCTGCAAATTGTACATCCAGTAGTTACAATACAAACTGGCAACACCATGGATACGAAATATTACCCGCACGAAAACGGAGTAGATACTCCAGCGCAGTAGACTACTGCAATCATAATGCAAACATGCTTCAAATCTGCTTCGGTGTGGGAGCTAATTAGCATATTTGAAACATGCTTCTATCATGCTGCTAATCTACTGCATTAATGCTCCTCCTCTGTACAACCCTATGTAATTTTTGAAGTAGAATTGCAGTAGGCTATACTGCATTTCTACTGCAAATATGCTCCACACCACTACTGCGTTAATGCTTCTTTGCTACTTCGATACAACTGCATTTTCTTGCGGGTAACAGCGTTGGTTTATTCGAAGTGACATGCAAGCAACTTTATACTTTTGATATTACTAAGAATCAAGCACAATTGTCGATATATCGCGCTATCTACGTTGACGTATGGGTAAGTGTAAATTATTCTAACTAAGCATATATACGGCCAGACAAAAAGTAAGTGCAGTCTACAAACTCAGTGTCAGAATGTACAAAAACACACTTACGGTCAAAACTGCTGTACTTGCAGCCGTTCAACTCAAGGCGGAGACTACAATTGTTTTCACATGTCGACCTAGAAGGATACACCCGCACATACCGCGCTAGGATCGGATACGTCAGTGTGTTTAGAACAACTGCGTTGAAATTTGAATTACCAGTCAACTGAAAGAAAATATTACATTTTTTTCAACATCATTACGGAAATTCATATTTCAATATAAAAAAAAATCACAAGGTAATCAGATGCAAAGTTTGATTACATGAATGACTGTAAAAATTCTACACTAAAATCTGCATTAGCAATGGATGTATTATAGATCTATTTATTTATTTATTTATTTATTTATTTATTTATTAACTATTAATCGACACCAAAAGTGTAGTGCTAACATTCGGATCATGACCATGTATGCAAGTCTATATGGCAGGCCGAATTGTACTGGATACCCCTTCTTTACTATACATACTCTAATAACCAGAATAAACCCATTCAACCTTTGTTAAAACAATTGACCAACCTGTTTACGTGTAAAGACAGCCAATGTAACGTGACAGACAGTCCCCCATGATAGAGAGTCCGCTTCTTATTCATTTGTACAGGTAAGCCTCGCCCTAGATTTCGACCCACTTAGGTCAGACTAACCCTAACCATTATGAATAAATGGAGACGAACTTTCTGTCACACGGACCCTTAGTTTCGTTACACCGCTCGGTAGCCACCACCTAAATTCATGC